GTTTTGAACCTATTGAGTATAAAAATGAAAAAAAGATTTTTTGTTTGAACCATATGAATGCATAATATATTGATAATTGAACAGATTCAATCATGAAAGCATGATGCTCTTTCTGTTTATTGTTCATGTGAATAATCAAAAGTTAGTCCCAGTGAGTTTTCTTCGATCAAAGAGTAATATTCTTTTATATACGGCTTCAGAGAAATGTCTCATTCGATATACAATACTATTACACTACAGTACAACAAATATTAATCAAACATCTGTGGGTCTTTATACTTTCCAATCGGAAAAGAGAAAGAATGAACCCATTAGCTTTTGATAGACAACAATTAAAAAGATAAGTATAACTCAAACTGACAGGAGTATATTTTTATTGTGTAAGTTCAATATATAATGATACGAATAGTTTCATCTATTCAATATTTTCTAGAATAACGAAATATATAAGTGTACAACATTCATCAGTCACTTTTTCATTCAATGTATAATTATTAACAAACGAAATGAACTGTTTTAAGTGATTTCCTGCTGTTGAGCTCCTATCTGACAGTAAAGAAAGCAAACCTGCTCATAGACCAAACCAGATTGATGAATGTTTTTTAGTTTTTCGAATAGGCTTGACTCTATATAACTTTGCATTAATGTATCATTCTAGTTTTAATCATTCAGTGGATTTATTTCTATAAAGATAAGCAATCAATTTATTTGGTTTACTGTTCACCTGAGATCTTTCTTGTCTGATAAAAACCCGTTCCATATAGAACTTTCGAAATTCGTTGCTAACTAATCTCTGAAGAGATTTCAATACTGATATTTTATTAATGGAATGATCATTTGACAGTTATTTCATTGAAAGAAATATGAGAAATAGCATAGCAGAACACAGCATGAGAAAAATAATGATTACTTAATAGACTTTTCTTTTTCATCATTCTCAAGGCTAAATCTCGAGTTCGCTATCTGCAAGATTACCATCTGTATATTCTATAAGATGAAATTTAAGAATCAAAGGGTGTGGATGAATGGGCATGTACGTGACTTGATAGATCTTCTATGTACCCACACCAACATTTGCATCTATGATATATTGATAGAAGAATTAAACCGATAATCGAATGTTGATACCAGTTAGTTAAAGATAAACGTAAAGAAGATGAATTAGGAAATGATATTTTATCTGTAGACTTCAATAGAACGAAATTATTAGGAACATATATGGTCCCTGTTGGAGCTTTGCCAAAAATGTAATCATGATAGTAAAAACAACATATGATGGGGCATATAACGAAGAGATAAAAGAAAATGTACAGAATAACTGATAATTATAATAACAGGCGAGGACATTTACCTTTGATAATTAATTTTTGCAACAATATGAACATGAAAATTACTATTCGATTGTTTTGGATCGAAACAAATTTTATGTTAGTAAATGGAAGTCTTATGATACTAAATTGAGGTTCGATGCAACTATTTGCTACTCGAGTCAAATAAATTTATCAAAGTACTCAAGAACAATAAGGCAACAGAACAAAATATCGATTAGTAAACTAATGAAAATGCTCTTCAATAACGAACTGAAAAGTTAGAGACAAATACATTTAACTATCATATTTAATTTCAAAAAGACAATCGAATTGATATTCGTTACGATAAACCAAAAAAAATGAATATTGATTTTTGAAAAATGAATATTTTGAATAGAAAATTACGAATTAATTTCATTTTCTCTTATGTTCCAAAAAATTTAAATAAAATCGAAATGAAATGTTGAATTTCATTCAATCAATAATACATATCTATCAATAAAATATATTTATTTTCAGTTATTTCCTCCTATAATAATCAAAATCATAATTATGAATTAGAATTATTACTGATATTATCTAAATATTTCATAATGCTTTTTCAGTAAAAGATTGTTGACGGTATCATGTAATTGAATAAAGTTTTGCTAAATTTTTGGCTATATATAATGCATGTTGCCGAAACTACGATAGCGACAAATTGTTGATTTTTTGAGCATTGTTTTCCTTGAGTATAATGGGCATTTTGTATGATTCTATATGAGTACAATGTAGCCGACAGTGTTTGTTGTACACAATAGTTATTACTGAGCACACCGCGTTATGCAACTACCTGAAAAATCAAATAGGTAATATAAGATGTATATACGATACAAACTGTTCTAGATTTTGTTAGATTTATCGATTTGTTCATCACAAGGCCATATTTTTTTTAATTCGTTTGCTTATTGATTTTTTCCGTTTAACAGTAACACTTTTCTATGATTTCTTTTTTATTATTAGTGAAGACAAAAAAGGAAAAGTATATCACATTGAGCTAAGAGAAGAGAGCGAGTAGACGAAAAAAAGATACAAGATCCAACATTAGATAGTTTCAGTCACAAATATAAAAAACGACAAAATAATCGACAATGCAACAAAAACTCAAAAACATGAACATATCGTTCACAAAAAGCTCTAATCTGACATGAATTCAAACGTATACTCGCGATTAGATGTTTCTTTCAGATTTTCATAAAAACTCAAGTAAATACTAGCACAGACAACATATGAGATATAGAACACATGGGGGACATAGGATGTGTGTTGTTGCATGTGTTCGTGCAATATTACCTATACATCCATTGTTTCTTTAATTCCTATGTCTCCTGTATTGCTACTTAATTGAGTTGTTGAGGATACCCAAGACAGACCTTCTATGATTCTCACCACCTTAAAAAGTTTTACACGCATACTGGTTCTAAGAAATCGATAAAAAGCTTATTGATGACCTGCCTACAAAGTATATGGGCCCATCACAAGAACTTCCTCAAAATGTCTCCAGTAAAAATATAAACGATTGAGTAGAATGTATTCACCTGTGATGAAAAAAAAACTTATTCGACCAATTACCTAAGCTATATGAAAGTTTTAAATTATAGTAAAAAGCTTTATGAACAGTTTTCTGTTGGGAAATAGTAAAATAGAAAAAAAAACATGAAAAATAAAGCTATAAAAAAATTTGGTAACATAATTCAACAGCAATTCGCTGTTCATGATTGAGTAATTCTGTAACATACTACTCCAGTGAGTTGTGGTTTAAAGTCGTTGAAAAATTCATACCAGACTCTTATTAGTTTATCAAGTATTATATTGTGATAACAATAAGTTAATTATTCATTATCCTAACTTAAATAATTGTAAAAAAATATATTGGGAACAAACGGATTTTACAAATATGATTGATTGATGAACTTACAGTTCTAAATAGACTTTCGATAATAGATGATAGTTATATTTTCTTACTGAACTATTGATTATTAATCAAAATTTGGTATTGTGAACGGGAAAAATACAGATTTTCAATAATTACTGAAATTCAATACTGTAAATTTTTTTCTCGATGTATATTCGTATGTTATTCTTCAAATCCTAGTTCAAGAAGTAATTTATTTGGATGATGCATATTTTATAAATAAGAAAATCGTTGTAATTTATAAAACTCTTTGAATAATAATTAAGCTTCGAAAATTTTGAAGAATCATAATATATATATTAATTCAAGATTTTGTTTTGTCTATGTCTTTTTTATGTTTCAAAGTTTCAAGGTTCTTTTCTTTTAGAGTATAAAAGAATGTACTTTAAGTGTTTTCATTAGATATATATAATTAGAACTTATATAAGTTCTAATTAAATATTCCATTGATTATAGAATTTCTTATTAATTGTGCAAATGCGGCAGACTCGACAATTATTTTTTGTTATAACGTAATCATTTTTTTACTCAAAATAGTAACATATAGTCATCTTTGGCTTGTTTAAATGTTGAAAATCTCTTGAGAATTAGTTTAATAATAGAAAATCGTTTGTTTTTTGTTGTTATTTTCTCCAGATAATAGATATGTTTCGGTTGTCTGCTTATGTTTTATGTTTAAATTTTCGAATTGCTATATTGTAAATTTGAATAAATAATCAAAAATAATTATGACACAAGATTTTTAAAAATAAACTATTGAACAATATTATTTTTGTAGAAATATTTAACCATGAAATACAAAAATTAAAGATATTTCTCAAATTTCTGAGCAAATATCTAAGTAGTAGCTTTGATTTAGCTTTAGACATAGTTTATTTATATTATAATATAAAGACATTGTACATTGATTTTCTAAGACTAAATCTCAATATCTAAGAATCGATCATCTTAAAAATGTCAACATAAGACGATAAAATATTCATTAAAAAAAAAGTTTCAAATAAACATGTTAATTCTCAAATAATTAATATATTATCTACCACTAAAAGAAATGGACGCATATTAATAGTAGAAATATTTCAAGTGCTATTGCCGAGATATTGAACTTCTTGAAATTCATGTTATATCAAATACTTTTTTTATTGAATTTTACAAAATATTCTAATTAATATTAATTCAAAAATGTTAGGCATTATTAGTAAAGTTGAATTGTTAAAATGAGTATTCAAAATCAATAAGGTTACATATTTGACTTTTCTAGAGATGACGTCAAGTTCTATCATGATATGTCTAATTTAATCTTTGTATGTTTCATTAGGAAGTATTCTTACAATGAAAATAGTGTTCTTTTTTTCTTGATGATGATTAATGTCAACATTTACTATATCGTACTTGATTGTAAATTATATGAACTCATTCGACATAAAAAAGACCCTTCATTTTCTGCGAAAAACACATAATCATATAAATAGGACTTTGAATTTGAATGCGTGAAATTATGTTATTAATGACAATAATGTCAATGACAAAAAAAATCTCAATCTTCCTTATACTTTATTCAAATGGATGGATTAAATTTTCATCAAGTCCTATCGTGTTTAACAGTAAAAAACACTCTGTTCTTTTTTAATTACATAAGTAGTTCTAAGTAATTTTATCAGATTGTATTTGAATCATTCCATGTAACATTGTAAGAAGTATCTTGTTTCTTTAATAATTATAAATAAATAATGTTGTTAACAGTGTTGATCAAATAATTTATTAAATATTTCAAGTTCACTCAGACGTTTTGAAATTTGTTTAAATTTTTCATTATTTTTTACAATATCTTGATTTAAATCATCAATCATTATATGAAGAATTCTTATTGCATCAATTATAATACGGCGCATTAAAATTGGTGGAATTTCAATACGATTTTTCAATGCTAATTTATATTGTTTTTCAATATCATCAGATGAAAGTTTAAATTCATTTGCAATACAATTATATTGTTGTTCAATTGATAATTTTGATATTTGTTTTTCAATTGAAGATGATGATGATGAAACTAATAAATAAAATTTTTTTGTCAAAATCATTATTTTATATTTCAATATAATTTATGGGAAGTTATATGGATAGAATTTATTTATAAAAAGAAAAAGAAGAAAATTAAATAATATTGATAATTACATTTGAATTGCAAAACTATGAATGTCTTATGAAAAAACAAAAAAATATCTTATTTCTAAATTATATCTTTTCATAAAAAGGTTTTCATTGCCTGTTTCATCACGTGTAATTTATCCTTCGTGTGAGATTCAAAGAACAGGTCTCGTGATATTGACGATATTTAGAAAAGATTTTAAATTAATAATATATTTACATAGCTTCAACTCTATAGTTCTTTACATCTTAAATTGTCATACGATCATAAAAAAACAACGCATTGAAGTAGATATAACAAAAAAAAAAAACGTAATCTGAATAAGATAAAATAAGAAGATATCTGTCATCTAATTTTAGAAATAAATTACTTTGATTAACCTGTAATAATTCGTTGTTGAATAATATCCTTGATTGATTCATAATCTTGTTCAATTTGTGTAATTGATGTTTTTATAAAATTTTTTTTAATACTATTATCTTCTTTTAATTTTAAATATCGACCATTTCTATCAAAGATTATCTCTGGGATAGTTGGTAATTTTTCATCTGGTAAATTTTGCATTAATGTAATTAAACTCATTTTTCCCATACGAGTTTGTTGAAAGAAATTCATTAAAAGATCCGTTTGATTATTTGTCATTTTCGAAAAACGAAAGTTAATTAGATGTTCTCTTTTATGTTTTATTTTATTTCGTTAGTCATCTTTTTCTTGACTCTTTTTTTGTCATTCAAATAAACAATAATTAGAAACAACATATAAAGACATTTATTTATTCTACGTTAAGACTATAGAAAAAAAATTTATTATTACAAATAAAGAAAAAACATTATTAAAATTAATAGATAATATGAAATAAATAATGATGATGCAAAATTAGTTTTTGTAATATTTGCTGTTTGATCAGAAACTAAATAGAATTTATTAAAAAAAAAGTTTTTTTTAAAGGAAAATTTTTGTAATTTTACTTTTATTTCGTTTGAGTAATTGTGCACGTATTGTTGTCGTTGTTGTTGTTATTATAATTAATTGATTTTTCTCTAATATGTGAGATACAACTGAAGTACTAATGGTCGCCGTTGTTGTTGTTGTTATTGTTGAACGATGATGTTCTTTAATTAGGCGAAAACAATTATTTATATTAAAGAAATTGTATATCAAAATATAGATTTTTACCTTTCAATTCAATAACAGCTTTACTTTGACCAGCTTTTGATTCAGCATAACAAGCATATAAACCAAAATCTGTTTGTTCAACATCTTTTATATATAATGTTGTATGTAAAAGATGACCATGTATATTTTGTTGTTGGCGAAATCTATTCGATTGACTTGATATATTATGATTATCAATACGGCGCCAATATAATAATGTATCATATGGTGCTGTAGCTGAACAACGTAAATGTGTTGATTTTCCAATTGTACCATGAATAAGTGTAGATTGTGCTCGAATTGATGGTATAACTAGAATATAATCATTAACAAGGTCATAACGGTTTTTTTTTTGTTGTTTGAATACATATGAAATAAATTGATAGAGACTATATACATACAAATGTTTATTAGAGTCTCCTTTTGTTCAAGGTTAAGCGGACGAGAAATATTAATCTTATGTATGCATATAAAATCCAAGAGGCAATAAAATTCAAGAACTCACACCTATGACCTTCTATACTGTCTTTTTTTAGTAAAAATTGAGAATAGACAAATGTCAATGGATTAAAAATTTTAAATACAATGTACTGAATAGATATGTTCGTCTTTTTGTTTTATTAATTATTCTTTTTGATTTGAATATATATTTGCAATTAAAAGTTTGCGTGAGTTAAACAGGTGCATGATTTATTTACTTCTATTTTTGTCATAAATCACGAATGCGTTTCTTTTTCTCTTTTTATGTAAACCCCCACATTTGATCATGCATAAATAAGTATTACTATCTTAACTCTTTAGAATGTTAGAATAGGTCGTCTTCCTCTTTCTTCTTTTCAATTGTCATGAGACACTATAAACACATTGATCATCCTAACCATTTCAAACGACACCGCCGAACTTCTTTATTTACTCTGCTGATTGTATCATATGGCCTCTGTCTATAAAATAATTAGACAAAAAAATTTGAGAAAAATAAAAAAATGAATTCTAATAGGATCATGTATCAAGTTTTTATATTCCAACAATCACATGTTTGACCTTCATTTATGTTTTACTATTCTTATATCCATCTTCTCATATAATTGTTGATATATACTTTGACATATATTTCAACCTATCAAGTATATATGTATCTCTTAGTTTTTGTTGTCACAGTCGACAATGACATTTGGCAAGCAAGGGCACCAGCAATATTAGTTCGAAAGATATCAAATTATTTTTTTTTTCATCGAACGACGACGATAGTTGTTTCTTTAATATACACACATACACACACAATTACATGTATATACTCTCATACGCAAGAAAAAATGAAGAAGAGTCAGAAGAAGAAGATGATATTATTTGTTACACAAATTAAAAGAAAGGAAAAAATAATGATAACTTATGGAATTTCTTCACTCACAAGGAACTACCATGAAAAAGAAAACGTCAAATATGTATTTGTGCCAAAAAACAAATAAGAATAGATGTTTAAATTTTTATTCACTAATATAGTGAACATGTTTTACACAAGTTTTTTCTTTCAAATAGAAATCTCTACCATTCACATTCATATATATATATATTTATTTATTTATGATAAATCATGAAAGTAAAGTGTTCAGTGGATCCTACTCTTTTCGTATTAAATTTCTTTTCTTCAAAGTAAAATGTTATGTATACGCAAATTAATACTCTTCATTTTATGTCAGAATTTTTTGTTTGTCTAATTTATCGTCTGCTGAAGTCTTAATTAAATGCGTACGAAGTTTTTCCCACATATCATAATTGATATCAGCTAAGTAACAATTATTCATAAACAAGATTAGAGAAAAACAGAAGAAGAAAAAATGTTTTTCATCGACTGGACTGGGCGATTCGACTGTTCGCCTTACTGTATGTACTCGAAAGTGTTTCGATCGATTAGAAAAGTAAAGTGAATAAACATTAGAAGAGACAAAACAAACTATTAATCAAGAGTAACAGCAGCAACGACTGACCAGTACAGTACGTAGATCTTAGATGTCAATAAACTTGTGCTTTTGGCATATTAGACTACGAAGAGAAAAATAATAGATAAACATACATACACACGCACAACAGACAACAAATGACAATAACGAAAAATGAGAGAAAACCATAAAGAGAGTATGACAAGAAAGAAAGAAGATATTTTAAAATCACCGAGCTCGACGAACAAGAATTTGTTTTATTTATGTATATATTTGTTTTTCTAACTTTCCGTGAGTCTTACCCTCCGGTCTTAAATTTTCTGTATGGGATGTGTTATCACAGAGGTGGATGACGACAACAGTAATGACAACAATGATGACTACGACAAGAAACTTATAAGAACCGTGTCAATCTGTCTCTATACTTGCTGGATTGTAGCCGGTAATCCACATTTACATTCTTCAACAACCATATTTGGTATAAATTTGCGAATAATTGGTCCACCATTTGTAGTTGTATACATGAGTTCAAGACCACCTGTACGTGAATATGAACAACATTGTGTTGAATGTTGATCAGATGGATGACCAATATTTGATCCACTTCTATTGAAATGTAAACTATTTTGAAGTAAAAGTAAATTGTATGCTGAATTATGTTCATTTCTATGTTGGGCATTTTTAACATCTGCATGTTTAAGTGATGATCCACTTGTACCACATACACCAACACATTCACCAATATCAAGTTGTCTTGGATAAATAACAAAATTTAATGCACTACTACCTTGATCAAGATCAATTGTAAGTGAACGTCGACAACATGAACTTGTTGAATGACAACCACGTGCTGGTCGTGCAATTGTATCACGTGTACCACGACGTCCAGATGATGATGGATAAATTTTATCACCATATTCAACTAACATATATGGAAGTTGTTGTTGAGATTGTTTACCATTTTCATCATCATTGTCTGAACGCATTGAATAAGATATATGTTTTTTTGAATGATATTGTCGATAATAATGACGATTAGAAGATGGTTGAAGATCACGATCAATTGCAAGTGCATACAAAGGCATAATAAGTTGATTATAAACTTTTTGTATAGTTACATGTTCATCATTGGGTTTAATAGTTAATTCAAACCAATTACCATTTAATTCTCCAACTCTGCTTACTGATAAACGTATTGTCTCTGTAAGACCAGCTGGTGGTGTTAGTGTTGTATCATTTGATGTTGGTCGAAATATTTGATAAATTTGAAACATATCTGGTGTTATTTCACCTTGTTGTTCATTTAAATGAAAATAATTTCTTCTGATATATAAACGTAAATCATTAATAACTTGATTTGTTGGTAAACTTTTTGATTCTTTTGTAAAACGAAAACAATCAATATTTTGTACATCACTATTAGCAAGATTTAATTTAACTGATAATTGACGTTGACATGTATGATTTGGTATATAATCACCAGGTAAAATGGCACGTTCAGCTGTTGGCATTAGTTCATCATGAACTTTTTGTTTTCGATAAAAACTATTTTCTTCATAGTCATGTAAACGTTGTTGTTGTTTAGCTTGTTGTTCTAATTGTTTAAATATTGATGATGGAAAACCTATATCATCGTTGACATTCATTGTTACATTGGGTGTTTCTTTTAAATTTAAACGTTCAACTAGAAGACGCGCAAATTGTTCGATTTGTTCTTCATTTGCTTTATGTTGTGACATTGATGTTAATGTACTTGTTGTTACTCTTATTGAATCAAACCAAGAATCATCATTATCTCTTTCTTGCAGCTCATCACCATCAGCATTATTATTATTATTCGAAGGGAATGATGGTACAAATGATTGGGCAGACATTGGATATCGTCGTTTTGATTGAGCTCGATAACGAGCTTGTAAAAAGGAAGGTGATAGAAGAAGGATAATGTTAATAATAACAAACCAGGATGTCATATTCTTTGCTTTTGTTTTAAAAAAAACGAGTGGCAAATAATTTAAAGGTACAATGAAATTGTATATATGTGTAAATGAAAATATACTTGATAAATATAGAATGCTCCTTGAAATGTGAGTGACACTATTTGATTCGTGTATGAGATATTGTGTTGATGACGTCAGCAGATCGAAGTAGACGTGCAGATAATGTTGGCGATCATCTGTGTTTTTGAGCGAGAAATAACGGAAAGCACAAACGAGAGAGTAACAGAGATAGAGAGAGAGAGAGAGAGAAAGCTGGTGATGACGAGGATGATAGTGAACAACAACACAACAATTAGACGCGACGAAGAAGAAAGAGAGACTAAGACGGGAGAGAGAGAGAAAGAAGGAAGTGGAAGAGAGAGAGACAGAGACAGAGAAAGAGAAACTCTACAATAAGCGATCTGGTCATCGGATTTTGTCTTTCTCTTTTATTTTTTTTTTATCGCTGTCTTTCTCTGTTTCTTTCCCTCTCTTTCTCTCTTTTTATTTATTGCGTGCAAGTTACTCCCACTTTTTTCTTTTGGCATAGTAATGACATTGGAAGTTGACACAGCAAGCAAAAAGATGTTGGAGGGGAAGTAACAATTAACGAAAAAAGAAGCAACAAAAAAAGAAAAAAAAATCATGAAAATATATCTAAATGATCTTTGAAAGAAACAGTTACGCGCTGATAATCACTAAATTCATTTATATATATGTTTGTCTCTTAGCTTTTTCAAAAAATTTCAAACAGAACGCTTTTATTCATTAGATTTATTCTAAAATAAAGGATATATTTGCTTTTAAGGTCAATCAAGGATAAATGTCATTTGTATCGTTTTAAATTCAACATAGACGTATTCGTAAAATGTCAAATACTTTCCCCGAAAATATGTTAGTTGTCAGGTGATGCAATAATACATATACGTAAATTATCTCAGCACTTATATATTATAAATTAATTTATTCTTACGTTCTACATTCATAAGAATTTTAAAATACTTTGATGTGTTTGTTACCAAATAATTATTTCTTTCATACGAAGGTGACCTGAATAGTAAACATGTGTGTTATATAGACATGAATTATGCTCTCTGTAGGATGTTTTAATAGTTTTTTTTTTTATTTTTAGAAAATCACTCTATTTTATTTATGATAAAATTACGTATTGTTTCTAGATAACACATTATTTATGTTTTCTAAAGAATTGGATTAAAAAAGAACTATGAATGATAAAGATTTGTCTAGAGCTTGTCTATTTTTGTTGCTCAGATCGGTCATCTTAAATGACGGCGCCGACCGTTTCCGGATATACTCCTCCTTTCTCTCAAATAGAGCCGATAGACATAGGTCAAGTTCTCCTTCCTTCTTTTATTCTTTTCTCATGCTTTTGTTTATTGTTGCTTGCAATGTACTGATAATGAAAATAATTGAGGTCAAATGCAATCTTGCGCGCCGTCGGCCGATGGTCGGCATCTCTTATTCTGTCAAGAACAATTGTTCATCATCATCGTTCTCTTTTCATAAAAAACATCTGTGAATGATGTGAATTTGCGTTAGGGAATATACAGAAATGACTGCACAAAAGCAATATTTCTCTACGTCATAATAATAAATCTTCTGGTCATCAAAACGATCATTTCTATGAAACACGAGGTTGTTTTTATTAATGAAGGGCACTAATTGAAATTCATTCATAGATAAAGAAAATATCATCAACAAATGTTCATATTGATATATATATATGTATATATCATAAAAGAAAAGAAAAAAGAAGTATTGAAAACTAAAAGAAATTCATATCTACATATCATTAAAGATAATTTTAATTATTTACAATTAATATTCTTAGTTATTGCGTAGGTTGTTTGTTTTTTACTAAAAATATCTATTTGATTTTCTATCGGTAGTCTATGCATGTTTTATTAATTAGAAAGAATTAATATGAAATATTTTTCATTTAATTATACTTTTAAATATATTCAAAATAGATATCATCAGTCTAGTCTTTTTTTTTAAAGTAAACGATTCAACGAAACTATTGTTCTTATGCAAAAATAAATATAATTATCTTCAGAGAAAAATATATATGTATATGTATACTATTCTACTTACAAAGGACACGTAATTCAATATCTTTACTAACAACATGATCATTGACGCCATTGGATGCTCGACATTCGTAATGTCCGCTTTGATAACGACTAATATTAATTAAATGAAATAAGCCATCAGTATTATTAGCTAAAATTTGATTATCTAATCGTGTCTTATTATTAGTATTTTTTCCATCTTCACTACGACGATACCAGGCAATATGGGGTATAGGTCGACCTCGAGCTTGGCATTTCATTGTTACATTATCATGTTCCATAATGATAATTGGGGATGATGTAGCATTGTCAATAATCATTGGAATTTCTAAAAAAGAAAAAAATATATATAGATATGTATATTTACTACAGGATTTCATTTTCTTCGTTAAACGGAAATTAAATATGACATATAATATGGGTTTCTTTTTTGTTGTATAGAACGTTTTTTAGTTGTTAGCTACGAACTTACGATAAAAATTTTCGTTTATATTGAAAAAAAAAAAGAATCATCCGTAAAAGGAATAAATTCAATTCTTTCATATGACAAGAGTTTTATTATATAATACAGAACAAACTATAATTTAAAAAATATGACCACGTCTTGTTATCTTAGTATTATTAATTGCTTATAGTTCAAACATAACTTTAATTGACTGAAGTATTTTAAATATTGATAGAATAGTCGATATTCGAATTAATATTCTAATCATTTCATTAGTAGTTTGAGTATATAAACTTTTGTAAAATTTGTATTTTTCTAATAAATATGATCAAGAAAAAACTTTTTCATATCAATAAATTGATATTTAATTTAATTATTTATTTTTAGAAATTACAAGAATATAATATTTATATCAATATGATCGTATTTTACTTCTATCATTTAAAAAACTAAGTTTCAAATCTATTTAAACAAGCTATGCACATTTATACATCATTTCTTTTAATAGAAAGAGTGTTCATTGTAAACTGAAAAGTATTTGTTTTCCACTGTTTAACCCTTTTCTCTCTAGCATTCATTCAGTAGAACTTATTAAGAATGCATCAATTCCTAGAACATTATGTCAATGATGACAGTTCTTTTATTTATTGAGAATGTAGTTCCTGATGATCGTTTATATAAAACATGATCAGTTGTTTTTGCTCTATCAGAAGTTGTAGTCTAAGTTCATGAAATACAAAATAAAAGTTTTGGAATTGATTGAAAGATCACATCTTTTAGTTTGTTTTTTGACCATTTTCAACTAATTCTAAGACCTGTGTTGCATATTAGTTAAAAATTAAGAATATCTTTGGGAAGAGCGTTCAAAATTCATCACAACTGACATGAAGAATCGCTAGAAGTTCGTTAATTTTCAATATCGTGTATGTGTTTTTATAAGCAGGAATTAAGCCATTCTTTGAATTTCTAATCTGAGTTTAAATTATTTTTGATATTGACCATTAACAGACTTCTAGAGATTTTTCATATCAGTTGTGATCAGTCTTGAGTGCTCTTTTCAAAGCTATTGTTGGATTTTATCTCATACAAAATACAGATCGCAAAATCAGTTGGAATTGGTAAAAAAAATGCATGCTTTCAACTAATTCCGAAATCTTTGTTTTGTATTTCATTAACTTCAAGTAAGATTTCGAATCGAGTAAAAAACTCAGCCACAATTGATATAAACACTTTGCAGAATTGCATTTTTAATACGGAAAAAAAAAATGTCATTTTTGACGTTATATTCTAGGTATTAGTGCATCCCTAGAAATAATGTTGAATCAACTGAAAGAACAACGATATGATTAAATATGAACAAAGTCATTTTATTATAGTAGTGCCGAATGGGTCATAAATAACCCATTCGTCTTGTATGGCATGAGAATTGAATTTATTGTTGATTTAATTTTTTTACGTTTTTTCATTGCTATGTTGTTATTTTATCTGTATAAACCTGAAAACCTACTTATAATGGATTGTGTTTCTTGCGACAGTGATTCATTTCGAAGAATAATATATGATTAGATATTTGCGAAGGTGGATATTTTTAGAATTGAAATCAGATATTTCATTTCAAGGATTATGCCTGCATCGTTAATTTTCATTTTCTTTTTTTTTATAGTATGAAATCATTGATTTTAATTTCAATTTTAAATTACTCATTCCTATTGTCAAGGCTCTTCCTCGTAAACAAGAAGTCAATTTTCATCTTTCGATAAAACATAAGGAAAGATAGTCCGATGTTAGATCTTTCGTAAACTACATGACTTTGTTTATTTGGTACTTGACTATTGTCAAAAAGTTTTTTAATGATATTTATCATCATTTAATTGAAAAATATGTCCTTTTTAGAAAAAGCAACAAATATTTTTTTATCACGCATCCCAAGATTCTCGAAAAAGCTTTATTAAAATGAATTGCTTTTATTTTTATCTGATAGAGCATGTCAAGATGCAGAGCATGACAGAGTCTCTTTGTCTGAATAAAGCTTTGTTGCTATTATATTAGAAAGTATTTTTATAATTACATCAACATTTTTTGAGAGTTTTTCCAGTCATGGAACTTTTCTTCATTTAAAAAGTAAGAATTTCAAAAAAAAACAGGCTTCGTCATGTTTGACATTCTGACATACTATTTCAAACAAAAAAATAGATATATAATGAAGGGTAACAAAGAATGTTGTGTTTTCAAATGACATACTTTCAACCTTTGTTTGTTGAATATCTTCCGAAAATGCAATGATATACAGCTGAAAATTTTATCATAATCTCTTCACTATAGCATTAATATATCCTGAACATTTCATATGATCTGAATATATATATGGCACAAGATAGATTTCTGAGTGTTTAAAAGAAAGCTCATGACAGAGGTTACAGGTTTTTATCTGTTATCAATGAAACGTTATTTTAATAGGGTCAAAAAATGCTTTTTAACTTGCTATTAATTCTAATAAAGCTCTTAGTATGAAGATCTTGTTATGTTAGCAATTTAAATCGAAAACAAAATAATTCTAGAAAAGCTATTTTTCATATTAATGACTACAAATGGATCAAAAATGAGCCAAGTTGTCACGAAACGTGTTGTTTTCACTTCTGTAATCAAGGATTTTTTTTTAAGAATTACTCTACAAATAAATGATGTCTGTAATAATACATATCAAAATTTAAAAAAATCAGTTTGTGGAAATAAATTAAAGAAAAAATAATAGATTTTACTTTATTTTATTTTTTTGAAAGCACACCATCTTCTGAATTACGTATCTTAACCACGAAATAATAAAAAAGTTTCATTTCTTTTCGACTTTGTACCTTATTCATCGTTCTACACAATATTCGATAATCGTTATGATTCGACGTTTTATTACTCCGAATAGGTAGTTTCTATAAATAGATCAAAACTGACTTTCAATAGAGGGTTATACAGGTAAACTTTATTTATTGAGCTATATTTTTACTGATTATAATATTGTCATCCAGACAATGTATGGATGATTGAATCATCACATAAGTTCAAGGTGAAATGAATAATAGTATATCTCCTTGTTTACAATAGCTAGGTTTCGTTATTATTGTTACGCATGATCGAACAAATTATTCCGTTGGAATAGAAAAATTGAGAAGAAAAAAAGCAAAATATCAATATCAATCGTTTTTTTACTATCTGCATATTCTCTTAGCTATATTTCTAAAAATTATGGCTGGACAGTTATCAATAACTATTGTTGAAGCTAAAGCACTTGATGATGATGATGTTTTTGGTGGTTCAAATGATGCTTATGTTGAAGTTTATATTGATGATGATTATAAACAACGAACAGCAACTATTTCAAATTCAAACAATCCACAATGGAATGAAACATTTCAATTGTAAAAATAAATCTTTATAAAATTTTCTTATTTTCATATCGTTTTTCTAGTCGTGTGGAACCTAATCAAAATCATATACATATAAAAATATATGATGATGATGGTGCTGCCGGTCGTGATGCAGTTGGTTCAGCTAAAATTGATTTAAAACCTGTAAAAGCTACAGGTCATTTTGAAAATTGGGTTAAATTACCAAAATTATTTGGTCTTGGTTCACATGGTCAAGTTTATGTTTGCATGAGTTTTCAAGGTTAACGAATAAAGTTTAATTAAAGACTAATACTTTCGAAGTGTTTATAAAGTTATCTAAGTAAAACAAGACAATTATATTTTTTCTATTGTAATCATACGAACTAAAATTGTAGTTTTTCTATTTTCGTAATAATCGAGGATATTTCCAATAATTATATCAAATAGTCTTTTTCTTTTTCTTTGAGTTTCAAAAAAAATTAGACAAAGTTTCCAGTTAAATTACTTCAAGTTTTTATTGTATACACATTTATGTGATATGTTTGAAAAGTTTTGAAGTAAATTTTAGATTTTTTTTTTGAAAGCAATTGATTTTTGATATTGATCAGAAAATTTTATTAGAAATGAATGGAGAAAACTAAAACGATTTTAGGATTTCGAAAGTTATCAAAATTCAGATTAATATCTTTAGGTTCTTTTTAATGTCAAATGGATGTTGGTATTAAGAATCTTAAAAAATTGCAACGATTCAATAAGAAATTCTGTCAATGATTTTTTGAAACTCAAAAAACAAAGGTTGATGGAATGCGAATTTTTTTATAGAAATTTCTAGCGGCGTAACTAGGATTTTGATCGTGGTGGGGCTGTGATGGGGCTCAGCTACTCAAATTCTGCCCGGTGGTGGGGCTCGTAATAGAATTTAGCTGGAGCGACTTTGTCGGGTGATGGGGCTGAGCCCCAGCTGGTCCCAGTGTGGTTACGCCACTAGAAATTTCAATGACGATTAATTTCTTTTGCGATTGCTTCACTGCAACAAAATTACTCTTTTTGAATTCGACTAATCATAGATCACGCTTTTCTGATCAAAAAAGTATTCTATTCGTTAAAATAATACTCTTGCCTATCGGTATAGACTGGTGCCTAGCGACTGATTCAATAGCTCGATATCTATCCTACAATTAATACTAGTTGTAGCTTCGAACAGAAGATCGATTTAACAACATGATTTTGTACCTCTCATATATATTATTCAACCACACTCTAGGTATAAATGCAAATGTATATCACAAAGTACTAAACTTGCTATTGGATAGGCGATTCGAGGTAAATAGTTTCAACATAGTATCATGTGAATGTGTGTTGAACCAGATAGCCTCTATTCGTTATTAATAGTTCACAAAAGGATGTTAACTAAAAATAGACTTAAATAAATATTCTAAGAATTTTAAAATTCTATTTATTCTACATAAAGATATTCAAATTAAAATAGTCGAAAAACAAATAAATTCAAATGAAATAGTAACGCTTCTGATGACATAAAAAAGCCATTTATTTCAAAAAAAATCTCCTTTCTATTAATACTCATAGAAAACTGTAATCTATTGGTTAAAATAGAACTTTAAAAATACGAAATACGTTTGTCAGAATTAATACCATTTGAAATCGAATTATTCGTACGCACAACAGAAAGACGTGCTGTTCCAATTGATGTTCCTGTTGATAATGTTCTTGCTCTATGACGAGGTTTTGGTTTTTTCTTAGGAAGAAAATTACCCGGAAAAAACTGCATAACAATAAATGCATAGCAAAAACAGGCAGCAATAATTTCACTTATTATTGATGCTATTTCAAATTTAAATTCATGTTTTGCAATATATAACCATTCTGTTGCAACAGATACTGTTACGATAACAACAAATATATATAATGTTGCTTTAATAGCTACACCACGAAAACGATGATATGATTCAGCAAAAAAATCAAATAATATAAAGAAAGCAATATTATCTCTAGTTAATGTTATAAGCTGTGTATCGAAAAAAACTGGAATAAATAAAGCGAGAATAACTTCTAAACGTGATATAAAATAAAATAAATGTTCTTGTTCAAGTGATACATGAACACGAAGACCACGATGTTTATAAAATACTCGACAACAAATAAGACAAATAAAATAAATCGTATCTAGTATTGCCCATAAAGTATAAAATACTGTATGTAATACATCATTTCTTTTAGCATAATATATTACATGTGCTAAAGTTCCAACTTCAGATAATATCCATAAACCTATATGATAGAAAAGACGTAAATAACGTGATCGTAGTGGCGCACTATATTGTAAATAAACAAAAACACTTAAAATTGATGAAAGTAAACCTTCATAACCACTTGAAGATCTGCCGTGAATGTGATAATAAAAAGCATCGAATAGATAAGCTACTTGAGCAAGAAATGGTAATATTACGGAAGCAAAAACAAAAAAACGATCATCAGCTCGACTTTGAGACGGAAGAGATTCTTCTGAATCGGATCGTTTCATTATTAACTCAAAGGTATAGGATAAATTAAGCCAGAGAAATAGTCAGCGATATGACAAAACATATGTCATAAATATATGCGCATTCACGTGGATTAGGTTTTATGCTAATGATGTGTGACCAACCAAATCCTTTTTAGTTAAATCAATCGAAATACAAAAAATAAGGTATTTTTTGTTTGACAAAATAAGGTATTTATAAAAAAAATATATTTGTTATGAATTATTTTGACAAAACAAGTTATATGCTTTCAATCAATCAGCTATTATTGAAGAAATATCAAGTACAAAAAATAATAGAAATATTTGTACTATTCGGACACGTCAAGTTAATCTTGAATACAATTAAGGGGACCCCCCCCCCTTTCCGAGGCTTCTCGAAAACGGCTCATTCGAAAAATTTGAAACTTTCACAGCTGATAGATCTCGATGTGTAGAGTAAAAGTTGTCATAGACTCAAAATCCTCAAATGCTTCTTTCTAGGAGATATTGAGTTTGCAATGGCTAAAAATCGACCCCCAAATCGCCCCCGTTTCTCAAACACAGTAAATCCGATTGAGCTGAAATTTTTTCTACAGATAGCAGAGACATTTTAGGGTGCCTAATTTTTTTGGTTTCTTTCTCTCTCGTACCGTTCGAATAAAAAAACCAAAATACGAAGAGCACCCTAAAAAACCCATATTTTTTTGAATAGTGCTTGTCTTGTAAGACCTGTCAAACTCAACGGTACAATATTTTTCAAAACAAAAAAAAGCAGGCTCCCTAAAGTGTTTCTACTATCTGTAGAAAAAATTTCAGCTCGATCGGATTTACTATCCCTGAGAAACAGGGGCGACTCTACATTTTTGCTGAAAAACCTGGTTTCTAGAAAACCGCGAAAGAAAGAAAAAATCGTGCTATACTCCTAAGGCAATCGATTTATCTTTTCGATTTTATTTTTGCTTTAGAGCTATATTTGAGCTCTCAAAACGTTACCAGTAGATAGAGGGCACTTGAAAACACATGTAGAGCAGAAAAAACAAAAAATGAAAAATTTGAAAATTTTGGGTCCGGAAAGGGGGGTGTCCCCTTAAGGTCTGAGAACTGTGTAGGATATGTTAGTAACCGCATACAAATAATCCATAAAAAGTATCTCGTATCTTCACAATGACTATCAGATTCAAAGTAAAACATCTCATTGAAATTAAAATGTACGACTCAAAACTGTGTACTAAATTCAATTCGGTTGCAGAACTTTTGAATCTAATGGGTTCTTTAAACTATTCTGCAAGAAAAAAAAACTGTCAATACAAATCTCTGATAGTGTCTTTCCAAATAATAAATAACCAATGAAATGTTTTCAATTTGAAAAGATTTACTGTATTAGCATATCTATTCATAGTTCTGAAATAATTGTAATCCTTAATGATGAAAAATATTTTCTTAATAGATGATTACACTCACAACAAATTCCAACATGAAATTCAATCGAGAAAAACTATTAATCAAAATTGAAGATATTGATCAAATTATATGTTTAAAAACACTGTATTAAGAAAAAATCCTATCATTCAAAATATACCAAAATTTATGAATAATTTATCAAACATATTGTAGAGAACATTATGTACAGTTAATTTCCTTTTCCTATACTCATGATTAAAAAAATCATCAGTCATAATATTTCACATGATTAAAAAAATAATACAACACTAGCTAAGTGTAATATCCTGATTTTATCTTTTTTTTTTTTTTCCTTTTGTTGAAACTCAGCTTAATCTACTAACGACAGAAGAAAAAATTACAAACTAAGGCTTATTATCATTTTCAAATCACGACAATTTCCTTATTGTCTTTGAGTCTTCTTCGTTTTTTTGTCATATTTATCTAGATAAAATTACACGCTAACAAATCCTAATTGATCGCACACATCATCACTAGCGTGCATGTCTATCAGCTGATCATCAAAATTAAGTTTTTTTTTTTTGTTCCAAGCAATATATAATGACTGACGACGAACAAAAGGACACGCTGATACTCGTCGCATGTTATATTAGTACACAGAGAGGCGTTGAAAAGCAATTCCGTATGTGTATATCTCTGTTTCTGTTTCATATACGTATATATATATATTGTAGACAACAAAATGTCATCACTCGTTCAAATATAAACATATTCTTTCGGTTCAGTTCACTTCTGCTATATATTCGCCAGAACTCCCGATCATCATCATTTACCGATTTTCTTCATCTTTATTGTACTAACCACCATAACATTAAATACATTAAGTAGCAGCATGCATGCAGATATATATATATATTCTTTCGCCTTCATTTCATCTTCGATTCGTCTGGCATTCACTTAAACGAAGAATCATTCGCATTTCCTCTCTCTCATTTTCTTTTTTGCTTTATATTATAAACAAAACCCATAAATACTGTACATATATATATATATATGATCATAGCTTGAAATATGTTGATCATCTCAATTCAAGCATGATGCTTAACTTTGACAGTTAGAATAGACATTAAACACATACACACGCGCATCACGTCGGAACCATGATTTCCGTTTAGAGATCTCATTTTTATTCTAGTACTAATGTGTAGCAGGTGCAGAATATGATCATGCATTTCGAGAAACAAAAAAAAACTACATAGAGAAAAACTGAAACAAAGAATGAATTAAAAATCATACACTTACCTTGAACATATAAATGAACAAATGCTTTTTGCGGTGGTTGAGTATTAACTTCACATGTATAAATTCCTTCATCATCAATATTAACATTAGTTATTGTTAATGAATAATCATAATCCGAACGTTGAATATTTAAACGATAATCACTTATTAATAAATCTTGATTATGTGCTAATATTGAATCTGCATTATGTGATGCATAACTTTGTCGAATCCATATTAATTGATGTGATGATGAAAGTGATAATTCATGATTTGTAGTACTAAATATACATGTTAATTTTGCTTTTTGTCCACTAGTTACTGTTACATTAGCATGTAATGCTTCTATTATTGGTTTAATTTCTTCTAGATTGAAAAAAAAAAACATATTCTTTTTTTGCTTTCTCTTATTTTATTATATTTAAAAGAAGAAAAGTTTTCCCTAAAGCAAGTGTCATCATTGATTTGTTATATTAAAGGACAATGTGCAATATATAGAGCTCATCAACCATGCATACCAACAAAGACAAAAATGGACAAATCCTGTCCGCTAAGATCGAATTAGAACTGAATGATGCGCGTTATCCCCAATCAAATTAGTCAGTTCATATACTTCATTCATTCACAACTCGTAACAGACATCCCCCAATGAGCTAATGTCTGCCTATATTTATATATATATATGTATATGTATTGGAATGCAAATCGGTGTCACATTGGGAGAAGCACTATTAATAAGCGGTGCGCACAATTTCTCTTTCTTTTTTTTAATTTTATTTAAATAAAATAAATCTCTTTGGAAATAAAAAAAAAAAGAAGAAGAAGAAATCATTTTTACATAACTGTACATCACTTATAAAAAGAAAATTTATCTCTATTATACTATTTATTTTTTATTATTGACCATTGTCCACGGTAATTACAGACAGATGATCCGTGATACTTGTGCTAGTCAACATCCGGTTAACATCTTTAGTGATGATGATCCTATGACATAATCTATTTTCCTTTCTTTCAAGGTAAATATATATTCTTCTCTTTCTCATAGCAGGCGATGGATTAGTTCAACACATTACACTACCATCAACTTATCAAAAAGAAATGTATATATATGATCAAGAGAACATGTCAACTGTTCTTGTCTTAATCTAAGTGAGTGGGCGACAACAAGTGTATCAATCAATAGATAATGACAATTGAGATTGCTAAGGAATTTTACAGATGGACCCATTCGTATATTTATATATATCGCCTTGCATTGAGATATACATATATATATATATACAAAAGAAGATATGATTTATGCAAATCACAGCTGAACTTGAACATTATCACGACGTGTGTATATGGTAAAATGGTCGTTTACATCATCACCATATACATGTATTTATATATACATTGAATTTATGACGTTGGAAGAATTTTACATCGTATATTATCACTTTTATATTACTTCTATACAATCACATGAATATAGAAAAAAAAAATGAACAAAAATCTGAAATATCCATTTACTATCAATTGATTTTAATCTCACGCATGAATACTTATGATAACCTATATAATCATCTTACCATTATTATCAATGAAAGACAATGTTTCAATGATGAGAAGAAGACTAATGAAGAATGTCGAAAACATTGTACGTTGATAGAATATTTATATATTTTAAATTTAAATATTTATATTAGTTGTTGCTGTTGTTGTTATTATTATTCGAAGTTTGACAACGAAAAAAAAACCGAAATTGAGAAGTATTAATAAGAGTCACTATGTCCACTTAAATGAAGAGAGTACTTGAATGTCGGCGCGATGTACAACCATTGAAACAAGAAACAGGGAGGAGAATAGGATGAGCTTATATATTGTGTGTTGCTTCCTGCTGCTACTGCCGTTGCACGTTATGCGTTCGTAAGAGCAAGGAGAAAATTTTCTCTTTCGCTCTTCTTTCTCTCTCTCTCTGTCTGTCTTCTTCTCTTTCGTTGTCCATATATATAATAGTCGTCTAAAAGAGAACAGTTATTACATTGAGATAGTCTTAGTCTAAACTGACTTTTATTTTATTCGATGTTATACATTGAAAGAAAGCGAAAAACTCATTGTTCATGTTCCGATGTTGAAACGAACGATAACGTCAAAAATTCAATTCATTTATTTGTGGAGTTTTTTTTTGTTGCAACGTCTATAATTATATCAGAGAAATCCAAGGAAATAAAAACAGGAAAAATAAACGAGAAATCATCGAAGCAAACATAAATGAATGTAGTATAATTTAACAAAATAAAAGTTCTCGTTATTTCAAGATTTGATATTTTATATATCATCGATTGATCAAGATTATATAAAAATAATTTGATATGGATCAAAGATCAAACGAATATTTATTGAGTGATAGAATATATATTTCATCAATATAAAATGCGTATACCGATGAAAATTGTAAAATTGGATATATGAAAGAGTTTTTTTCTCATATGAGTAACTAATATTTCAATTTTTATAAATAAGTTTTTTCACTTGCTTATCAATACTAGGATGATCATGAAGATATTTGTTTGATATATCAAAAATGACCAGAAAGATTTGTCTTTTGATAACTAATTATGATAGAGAGAAAAAGAAAAGAAATGCTATTTCTTGTCTGTAAAAAGATAAAATCAAAAGAAATATGTCTGTTTTATTGACTGATGCAATTTTGATGAGTGTTAATCAATTAATGGCTCATTTAATCTTACATAATTTCGTAATTGAAATGAATCATTATTCATCCAAGAACATATTTTCTTTTTATGGGAAAAAAAAACCTATATGCAATTATTATTTGATTCTCATATTTTAAAAATTTTATTTGAATGGAAATAGATATCGAATACGATATTAAATTCTTTCGAAAAGAAACAAATGAATTCAATTGAGAATTGTGTTCATATATAATCGGAATTATATACAATAAATTTGTTAAACAAAAATGATAGAGGTCTGCCTGGTTGTTATAACAAAGTATCAATGATGATAGCCAAAAATTTGTTCTGTTATAAATCATTGTTGACAAGATAAAAATAAAGAATTAGAACCCGGTGACCTTTACGTTCTTAAAATAAGAGATATGAGAAAGGCACACCTGCATCTGATAGAATAATATTTATCAAAGTATAAAAGTCCAAAAGAACCAAGTTGTTTTAATGATTAGAACTAAAAATAAAACTTTGTTGAATGTAAAACTAAGAAATTTTTCATTTCAAATGTACTGTATGCTTGTTTAATCATTATATTAATAGTTTTGAGTACATCAAATATACATAATTCATACCAAAAATAACATGATATATGGTTAAAGTTTCATTGAATTTAGTTTATCTAGTTTTTTTACTCGAAAAAATGAATTCAGTTTGTGGATTTCTTCAACAAATCATAGTTGAAAAATCCATTGACTAAAATAGTTTTTTTTATAATAAAATTGAAGTTTTTCATCAAATCAACAAATATTTGCTTTAATAAACAAATACAAAAAAAGCTTCTCAGAAGCATCTTGAAATCAATTCATTACCAAAACGAAAATTTATTCTTTTTTTGACAAGATTCATCTATATATTTCATGATTTTAAAACCATTTAATAATGTATTCATATTTCGAAACTTATCTTTTCATCCAAAATCCTATTTACAAAAACGTATTCAAGAAAAAAGGAAAAAAAAAACTTTTCCTATCATTTAAAGCCTATTCATACATAATACAAGTAAAAATAAAGCAAACCAACATAAATCTATAGAAATTCGGCAAGAAAAGAAAATATTCATCAAAACTACGACCGAATAACAGATAGATATAAAAAACAATAGATAAAACAATAATGAACATTTGCAAAGTTGAAATACAAAGTAATAGAAGTTAATTTATCTGTTGTCTCAAAAAGATAATATGACTGAAAATAATGAAATCAAAAAAAAAATTAATAACAATAATAATAATTTTATTCATTCTTTATATGTTCTTGTTCGATTTGACTATTCGATGTTATTGATTGATTATTCTATATATATATATTATAATAATAATGAAAAAAAAGATAGATATTAAAAACAAAATTATACATACTTGAGATAAAAGCTTGGTTATTTGTATAGTAAGAATAGCACCAGCAAATGTTAGACAAGGTACACATGTTTTTAAATAAAAATCCGAATTTGTATATCTTAAAGAAAAAGAAAAGATCGAATTTCTAATAGATCTTTGTAAAAAAAATATATATATTTACTTTAATGCACCAGCACGTAATAAAATTTCTGTAGTCATTGTTAATGTAAATGATACAATACTTGAAAAAGTAAAACCAATTATACTTCGATCAAACCACCACCAAAATGCTATACATAAAAAGACTACTGTAATAGAAAAATGAAGATCACTTTGAAATGTAATTTTCTAAAACAAAACAAGAAAAAAAAAAAGAAAATCTCTAGAGATTGCTTCTTTATTTGTATTCACGAAACATACGGCACATAAATGATTGATACCAACAAATATTACTAATGATTTACAAATTCGAGATTTTTGCATAGTATCATCATTATCTGTAGATATAGATGTTCGATCAGTAGAAGTCATTAGCATTGGATAAAGAAGACCAACTAAAACTATTCAAATGAAAAGAAGAAAAAAATAGCAAAAAATATTTTGTTTTTCTTTACTTACCAGCACCAAGACCGCATACAGAAATGAGACTCAAAGTAGGTAAAGTAAGCATAAGACGAGGAGAATTAAATAATAATAATTTATGTTCGTATTGAAAAGTCATTAATACAACAGCTAATGTACAACCAAAAGTAAATAATTTTAATGAACGTGATGAACAAGAAGATGCACTACGGACTAGCATTGCTGCCATTTATCGTTTTATTTGAATTTATTTTTCTGTATCTAGATAGAAGATAGTAAAATAGTAAGGCAACTACAAATATATTTAAGCTATATAAGTAAGTCGATAAGTCAGAGGAGACAGACCACAATGGCGTGATCGCAAAAACACTTACCCCTCCTTTATGCCCTCCATTAACAATGATATAAGGGTTGAAAGAAGAAAAGAGAACAGAACACGAGAAAAAGAGACGAGAACTATAGTATCGGGTCATCGCTTTACATGTAACATTAATCATGTACTTTAACAGTGTGTTGAAAAAGTGTCAGAACAAATGAATAATATTCTTATTTTCGTTTTTATTTAGATTTGATTTTTTTTTCTAATACAGAAAAAAAAAGGAAATTCTTTTATTCGTTTATTTCTTCCTCATCATTATTATCGTCGTCATCATCATCATTGTCATCATCTTTAAATGTAATCTTATTTTGTTGTTGTTTTTCTTCTTCTGTTGTTGCCGTAGTTAAATTAATTGAAGCAAGATTATATTTTTTATACATATCATAATTTCGTACTATTGAAATAAGTATTAAATTTTTAATTACATGTATTAATATATGTATTTGAGGTTTTTTATAATCACGTTTAAATGTTTTTCCATTTAAATCATCAGATTTTCTTGATAATAAATCATTAATAAGAATTTCTTCTAGATGACTTGATTTTAATGTTGTATTATTAGATTTTTTAGCTTGTACATCAAACCATATTATATTATTTGATGTATCATTTTCATTTGTCAATAATATAATTTGTTCAATAAATTCGTTTTTTATAATTAATTTTCTTAAATCATCTTCATATGCTTTACATATAAATGATATTGGTAATAAACGTTCAATATATCGACTATGTTGTTCTTTTGTTTGTATACTTGTATTAAATATTAATTCAATAAGTTTATTTAATGATATTAATGGTAATATAGTTGTAACAAAAAAAGAATGTTTTGTACCTGATTTAACAATTTGAAAACGACGAATTCTTTTATTTGAAGTATTTAATTTAAGTTTTTCATTTTCTAATGCTGAATCAAGATCATTAAGATTTGTTGTTTGTTCATCAAGATCTTTTTCATCAGAAAATTCAGGACCAAATAATTGATCAGCAAAACGATTTAATAAATTATAAACTTCATTACGAACAAATGATTCTTTTGATGAACAATATGTTACAAAAAATCCATGTTGATCTATTTGAATTGTATTATTATTCGATGAATTAGTTGTATTAGCAAAATTTGATTTTTTATTTTGATGATAATTTCGACGTGCTGTTTTTTCATGTTTTACACGAACCATCTTCAATAGAACAAAACAAGAATGGTTTTTTTTTTTAATTTTTTTTTATCCAATAATACGCACGAATTTTTCGAAAACATTTCGGTTTACAAAGAAAAACAAAAAAAAAACCAACAAACAAACAGATACAGAAGACAAATTTTCTTTTTAAAGAAATGTATTTGTATACATAAATATATCTATATTCATTTTAATCGTATTATTCTTTTTTTTTTCTATGACAAAAATGATAGGTCGTTGCCAATTGTCGACTTCAAAAAAAAATTAATTAATACGAAGATTTTAATAGAGTTGTTGTTGAAGCTGATTCAGGAAAAAGTTTATGATAAGATTGTGTTGGTATATAATTACCAATAACAGTACGACCAGAAAAAAATCGACCATGAAGTGCATTGACAGCATTGATAGCTATAAATAGAAAAAAACGAAAGAACGTGAATAGATTTAAAAAGAAATTAATCGAGTTTATTGATTTAGGATCCTTTGGTTTTTCCTCTTATGATTATATATTCAATTGTAATTAATCTTAATGCATTAATTATCATCATTTGTTAGACAAATTTTTTTTTTGATTTTTGCTAAGTGATTATTTTGACATATGGAAGAATGTATCTTCAACAATATTTCTAGAATTTATTAGGCTAAGTTCTATTTGAGAAATATCCTAGTATCTGATGCATTCAATTAATTGTTGTATTGTAGTTTCGAATTCAAACTTGAAGTTCGGTATGCCCAAAACTATGTCAACTATTACATAAAAAATTACTGCTTTAATCTCTAAAACGAATGTTCAATAAGTTTGTTAATAACTTGAATGCAAATTTCCAACATTTTTTTGACCAATTTAACTTTTTTTTGAGTCTAAACGGAACCTGTAACAGTCGGTACATTTGGAACCTTGTAATAAACATAAAAAAAAAAAAATTTTTAGCAGAATCTCTAAGGATTAAAATGCCAAACGCAACATAACTGCTGTTGCTAATCGCAGGAGAATAATTTTATTCAATCTATTTTACGACACATTTCTTTGCCATCCTTTTACTTAATTCTAACGAATATAGTAAGAAAGTAGTTTCTAGAGTATAGTGAGATGTTATTGACATACGATCTGTTGTCATATGTCAACATTTGTCACTACCTCCGAGGACGAGTCAAATTTTCACTCTTACACTTCAACACTCCGTGTAGATTGTGCTATGCAAAAAAAATCCATGCTCCAGTTTTGTATTCCAAAAAAGTTTACGACAGCAAAATTTTCGATTAGAAAAATCTGCTCATTTTTCATCCTATCTGTTTATCATTTAGTTGGTTATAAGAGGCAACAAAACACCATCTATTTATTCTCTTGTACTCAAGTAGTATAATCAAAAGAAAATTAATATTTACCACTAGCAATAGTTGAACATTTAACATAAACATTTCCATCAGGACTTTTTTCATCGACATAAATATGCACAACACCACCGTGTTTATTACATTCATCAATAACTTCATCACGTATTTCTTGTGTCCAACGAGGATTTCGAGCTTCAGTAACTGGATCAAACATATTTGAAAGCATAAAACATTGCGTACCAACAGCTGTTACTGTTGCTAATTGTTGTGGATTAGGTGGTTCAGGTATACGAACATGTTGAGAACTTGCTGCTTGAATATGTGCTGCTTGTAAAGCATCAATAGCATGTTTTGGCATTTGTAAACCACTACCTTCACTTAATTTAGCCATTAAAGCTAAACGTCCAGTTGCACCTAAATTAATACCACGTTGATCAAGATCATCTGAATCAAGATTTGATGATGATGCAAATGATGATTGAATGCCAGCAGTATATGTTGGAAACGTAACACCAGTTGAACTTGTCATTTCACCGAGTCGTTCAGTAACATGACCAACTTTCATAGGTCGTCCAGCTAATTCAAAACCATTTAAATTTTCCATAGCTTTTTTAGCATCTTCAGCATGAGCAAATTGAATAAAACCTATAAAAAGAAAAAAAAACAAATCATATTATTAAATTTAATAAAAACATAAAAGTCTTTTTTGATTTTTTTAAAATTACCATATCCTCGTGATCGACCTGAATCAGGATCTTTCATAAGTGTAACACTATCAATACGACCAAATGGTTCAAAGATTCCTCGTAACATATCTTCACTTATATTAAAATGAAGTGATCCAACATATAATTTCATCGGACCATGTGTTGGTATAAGTGATCCAGCTTGTGATGTTGTTCCATTACTTATAACTGGATTTTGAGCAGCAGCTGCTTGTGCTGCTAAACGATTTTTTTCCGCGTTCGATGGTTTAACTATAATTGGTATGCCAAGGAGTTTTTCACCAGATAATGCAAGTGCTGCTTGTACACAAGCTAAATCACGAAATTCAACATATGCAACACCTTTTGATCGACGTGTTCGAGGATCTGTTATTAAACGAACATCACGAACTTTACCAACACGAGAAAAAAATTCTTCAAGATCACGTGGACGGATCATTGCTGCTAATTGCATACCTTGATTAATAAACAAAAAATAAATATTTAATCATTAAAGAAATTAAACTTTAAAAGTATTTCTTTTTTTTCTTCTTTGTTTACAAAACAATACTAAATTTTATGTTAAAATATAATTTTTCAATTAGAATATATACTAATATTCATATCAAATTAAAACAAGGATCAGTATTTTTGAAATAATTTTTAATAGGAACTAAATAGATATCTGTGGGCTTTCACCGTTTAAAAGAGGAAATGATATTACAGCAAATCTTCAAAAACAGATTTTTTTGACAAGTTCTCTCAAGCTCACTAGCTAAGTTTCTAATATAGAAAACATTTTGTAATGTAAAAGGTTCGAAATTTTAATTTTCAGTAATGCATCAGAATCATTAACTAAAGTTTAATAATCTATATAAATCGGATATCAAAATATTTACTCAATCATGAGTTATGAATATTTTACTAAATGTGTTGGGCAGTTTTTTCACGAAAAATTCACCTTCTAAATTTATTAACACGTCTCGATTTTAAACAAAAAAACTTAACCTATGACTCTGAGAAAAAATTTCAGAAAATTCTAGTATTGAGTATTCAATGCAGCTTCATTTCCTCTCTCAAACGGTGAAAACCATAAAGCTCTATCTAGTTCCTATCAAAAATTATCCTGAAAAATTCTCATTCTTCTTTTAATTTGAAATGGATATTAGCTCAGTCCAAGTCTTAATATTTGTTTCTAATTATTAAACATATCTATAAAAAATTTTAGACTCTTTTTTTTTTCATTTGATAATTTCATAAAAGCGAATTTTTTCATACTAGGTTTTTACTCAATGATATTAACCCTTTACCCCCTAAAACCGATCCGACAAAGTCAGTATCGATTTAAGCATAGGAATAGTCCAAATCTGGGCCCAATATGTCAAGGATGTAGCCAAATTTCAGTGAAGCTGTTTCCCTATGATACTTAAAAATGGGTCGAAAACGACCCATTCGGGTTGAATGGCATGAAAATTCGATCTTTTTCAACATGCTATTTTACGGTTTGTTGAATTGTGTATGCTGAATTCCTATGGCCTGAGGTATTTCTTTCCGTAAAAACAATTTTTTCTGCAAAATTGAATTTTTCAAAAATGATATTAGATACATTTAATTATTTTTAAACGAAACT